GTCCAGTTGGGGACTCTCGCGAGCGACAATTCGAAGGCGTGGCTCGGCGTCAACCTCGACAACGATACGATCGACCGCACCTTCGCCATCTCCGTCGGCCTGATGAGCCCGATGGGCGCCATGGTCACCGATACGACGCCCGGCGGGCCCGCGTCCCAGGCCGGGCTGCGCGCCGGCGACATCGTCGTTTCCGTCAACGGCGTATCGATGGCGAACGGCGCTCAGCTCCGCCAGTACATCGCCCAGAATTCTCCAGGCAGCCAGGCGATGGTGGAAGCCTGGCGCTTCGTCCCCGACCAGAGCGACTACGTGACGACGCTGCGGCGCATGGGCGAACAGGGCAACGCGGCCATCATGGCGATGCTCGGCTCCATGTACGCCAACGCCAAGGGCGTACCGCGGGACGAACAGGAAGCCGCGCGCTGGTATCGCGCCGGCGCCAACGCCGGCCACGCCGTCTCCATGATCGAATTGGCGGCCATGACGCTCGAGGGGCGTGGCACCGAGCGCAACGCCCAGGAGGCCGTCCGCCTCTACCGCAGCGCAGCCGACACCGGCAACTACTTCGCCATGTGGCGCTACGGGCTGATCCTGCTCGAGGGCAAGATCATTTCGCGCGATACGGGCCAGGCCGCGCAACTCTTCCAGCGCGGCGTCGACGGCGGCTTCTCGCCCGCCATGTACGAACTCGCCGTCATGCACGCCAACGGCGTCGGCATGCCGCGCAACTACCAGGAGGCCGCGCGCCTCTATCAGAAGGCGGTCGACCTCAACAATTCGGCCGCGATGGTGAACCTCGGTCTCCTCTACAGCGAGGGCAAGGGCGTCGAACTCAACGAGTACAAGGCGGTCGAGCTCTATCGCCGCTCCGTCGACCTGAACCAGCCTTCGGGGATGCAGAACCTCGCCGCCATGCTCGACCTGTCTCTTATACACATCTAGATGTGTATAAGAGACAGCTCCTGGCCAGTGCCGCCCGAGCGACCGTCGGCGCGCGCTCGGGCCAGGAGGATGCCTATCGTGTATGGCCCGGCGAAGGGGCCCTGCAGCCGGTGGGAGATGCCGGGCTGCTCGCCGTCCTGGCCGACGGCATGGGCGGACACCGGGGCGGTGCCGTGGCCGGCCAGACGGCGTGCGCCTCGTTCGCCGAGAATTTCACGGCCGGCGCGCTGCCCTTCGATCAGCGCTTCTCGGTGGCCCTCGAGGCCTGCAACGACGCGCTCGCGGAAGGCGTCGAGCGCAACCCGGCCCTCAAGGGCATGGGATGCACGCTGATCGGGGCCTGGTTCGACGACACCGGAATCCGCTGGACCAGCGTCGGCGACAGCCTGCTGCTGCTCTATCGCTTCCCCGACGTCATACGCCTCAACGAAGACCATTCGCTCGGCTCCTATCTCGACGAGCAGGCGCGGCGCAACGAGATCACGCTGGAGGAAGCGCGCGGCAACCGGCATCGCAATGCGCTGCGGTCGGCGCTGACGGGCTCCAAGATCGACCTGATCGACCTGCGTGCGGAGTCGCTGCCGCTCATCGCCGGCGACTGGATCATCCTCGCCAGCGACGGCCTGAGTTCGCTCGACGGGGACGAACTCGCCGACATCATGTACCGCTTCCGCGAGGGGACGCCCGAGCAGATGGCGGAAGGCCTGATCGCGGCGGTCGAAGCCAAGGGCGTGCCCGAGCAGGACAACACCACCGTGGTCGCCGTCCGGGTGGAAGGCGCCAGCGAGACGGTGCGGGCCCGGCCGCAGGCGGCCACCGACGGCGAAGATGTCACGCTGCGCACGCGCCGCATCGGCGTCGTCTCGGGCCGCAAGATGGTGACACAGGGGAAGAAATCCCAGCCCCCGCCGCGTCCGCGCTCCACGCTCGAAACTCTCCTGACCAAAGGGCCCATCGCGCTGCTGCTGGCCGCCGGCGCGGCCTTCGTCCTGGCCGCCGCGATCTTCCTGTTCAAGGCTTCCCGCACGCTCGGACCGGAACCGCAGGTCGCCCCTCCCGGGCCGACCCGGACGGAGCCCAGCCGTCCCGAGCCGATGCGGCAGATCCAGTCCCCCGAGCAGCGCGAGCCGCCCACCCGCGTTGTCGATCCGGACCCGCCGCCGCCACCTCCGCCCCAGGCCGCACCGCCACTGCAGCCGCCCGCCGCCCCGACGCCCGCGCCAGCCCCCAAGACCGGCCCCGGGCCCTCGACCGGGCCTGACGCGCCGCCGGCCACGCGCTCGGCGCCGCCGCGTCCGACCAAGTCTCAGACCCAAACACAGACCCCGGGTGAAACGGGCGATCCCGATCTCGAACCGCAGCGGGACCCCGGTCCGCCGGTGCCGCAGGAGGGCGGGTCGCCGCCGCGCGGGGCGAAGAAAGTCGAGCGCGCCACCCCGGCGCCCCCGCCGAACGGGCGCAAAGACAAGAAGGACACACGGCCTTCGCAGTAGCGGCCGCCTGTTTCCCAGGAAACTGCGTCAGGATCTTCGAGTGCGTTGGATGTGCCAGCCCATGCGTACCCGTGTTGCCAAGCCGATGGATCAGCATCTTCGAGAGGGCAGGCCGCCCATGACGTTGCCGTTGTCGCCCCTTGTTCCAAGGTCGCCGCGCCGCCTCGTTGCCCTAGGGCTGGCGCTGGGCTTGATTGGCCAAGCCGCGCCCGTTCTGGCCGGCGGCTCGGATATCGTACGCATCCTGCGGCCCGACGGCGTCCCGGTGCGCAACGAGCCGACCCCGGCCCGCGAAGACGTGCCGATCGGCCCGAAGCAGGCTCCCGGCAAGACGCCCGAACCGCCGCGGCCGCCGGCCGTCGCCGGAAAG